AAACAAACAAACAAACAAACAAATAATTTTCAGCTGGCCTGCTCATTCTGTCTGGAAGGGTATGCTTTGGGTACCTTCAACATGGGAAATAAAATGAGCAGAGGTCCAGAAGCAGTGTACCTCCATCGCTTCCTCAGCCCTCTGGACCAAGTTCCCTCTGAGATCTGGGTTTCACTCTAACCATTTTTCCAGACAGTGGTTAAAACCTGGCTATCCCATTGGCCTCTGTGTCGGCCTCCAAAATTTAGTTTATAGTCCTGGAATTCCATAGTTGTCTCCCGTCTAAATAATAACTAAGCCCAACTTTACTTAGTTTTTGAACTCAAACAATGTCAACAGATTTTTTTTTTTTAAAAAACCACAATATTTCTTTACCTTGGGAATTGGAAGAGATGGGAACTTCTAGTCTCAGAATTTTAGCTTTGCTGGCTGGGGAATTCTGAGAGTTGAAGTCCATCCCTCTTCAAGTTATCAAGGTTGAGAAACACTACTTGAGCCTCCCCCAAAAACATATCTCAGCCTGTCCTTCTGGTGACCTCACTGCAATGCATCATCCCCATCTCTCCTGTCCTTCTCAGAAGACGTATTTCTTTTTTATACAGATAGTCCTCGACTTACAACCGTTCATTTAGTGATGGTTCGAAGTTACAATGGCACTGAAAAAAGTGACTTGTGACCATTTTTCACATTTACGACTATTGCAACATCACGTGTCCAAATTCAGATGTTTGGCAACCGACTCATATTTATGACGGTTGCAGTGTCCCGGGGGCCATGTGATCACCTTTTGCGACCTTCTGACAAGCAAAGTCAATGAGGAAGCCAGATTCACTTAACATTGTTACTAACTTAACCACTGTAGTGATTCTCTTAACAACTCTGGCCCGAGAGATTGTAAAAAGGGGGCAAAATTCACTTAACAACTGTCTCGTTTAACAACGGAAAATTTTGGGCTCAATTGTGGTCGTAAGTTGAGGACTACTTGTATATGGTTCCCTGATCAGTGAAATACACCTGTGGCCGGGGACATCTGCATCTTCCTGAGATTCCATGGAAATGTCACTCATGGCGTCATGGCCTCAGCACTGTCCAATGAGGTGTAAAAGGGGCGGAGTTTGAATCTTGACCTCATGACGCGCCCTTCCAAGTTTGCCCTTCCTGCTTCTCCCCACTAATACTCATGGCTGTTAATGTGGTTTTCTTCAGTGACCATAGATGCCAGAAAGGTAGCAAGGCTTTTCTTCAGGATGTTTCAGATCCCCGGGGATTCTGGCTTACCATCTCGTACAAAAATTTTCTTTGCGGCTTCAGTGGCCATTTCAGCAGCTTCCTTGTGCAAATAGGAGTGAGACGAGAGCAGGGGGTCAGTGGCCCCTTTATTGTTTCCTCCAGGAGCGGAGGGGTCTTGGGTCGCCTCATTTTTCCCGCCGTGTCCACATTTGTCTGCATGAGGGAAAAAAAAACATAATAAAAATGCACATTGAAAAAGGGGAGGGTTTTGATTGCGTAGTTGCGGTGGCTGTGTTGTTTTTTTTTTTTTACTTTTTAAAACGTTTATGGAGGCATCCATCTTTCAACCAATTCCGTTGGCTCCCAATCAAAAATTAAAAAACATTTAAAATTACGGGTAGTCCTTGACTTACAACAGTTCATTTAGTGACCAATAGAAGTTACAACTTATGACTTATGACCATTTTTCATACTTACGACCGTTGCAGCATCTCCACGGTCACGTGATCAGAATTCAGGTGCTGTTGAATTAGTATCAAGTCAATCACAGGTCACGTTTTGGGAATAACTGCTTTTTTTACTTAGCTGCCTTCTCCCAAATCATTACAGATATAGGTAGTCCTCAAGTTACGACAGCCTCAGAAAAAGTGATGTATGACCTGTCCTTGCACTTATGACCATATAGCATCACTCCTGCAATCATGTGGCTGCAATTACAACTGGTTGCAGCATCCGGTAACCCATTAAATTCAATTCTACAGATTACATACTTTTCATATAATTCTGGACACTTTGTTGAGAGCTTAAACTTTTCAAACAGTACAACTGTTCGAATTATTTGGATTCTTTTAATTTGGAAACCTGTCTCACTTTTCTCTAACAGGACAACTTTTCTATATAGAGATATTCCAGTGCTGTTAGCACAGCTGGTAGACCAGATCAGGAAATCAACTCCAGAGGAAGGCTAAAATTATTTTTTATTGAGATTGACTATAATAATAGAGTCTTGCAAGTCTGACTGATCTGTACCATTCTCCTTTCTTATATACTCAAGGAAATGCCTGTCTGGGCCTCTGCTGAATATTATCTGTCCATTGTGGACTTGAGATATTCCCCCCCCCTTCTCTTTGATAATGGAGTTTGTGCATCTCCCTCAAAGTCATCTTTTTTACTCTCTACATTGTTGTCCCCAATTCGGGTCTGAACCTGGTGCCAAAGCTGATGAAGAACAACAGGCACAAAGTGCAGGTTTTGTTTCCTTTTATTGAAGCGCTCCAAGAAAAGGGGTCCTGGCCGGAAAATGCCTAGGAACCCTGAACCATAGAATTAAGAAAGGTTTATACATTTTTCACTAAAGCAGAAGGAGGGGGTAAGGCGGGGTATATAAGAAATATCATCTGATAATAATCTAACAATTATTCTAAGCCTTGGTTAATGAATGCTTCAGGAGTTATCTAATACACATTCTATTTTGCTCCAGGCCATCCCTATTCCTAGCTTCTAGCTGAGCTATGCAAGATGCCTAACATTTTGTTACATTTATCAGATTTCTTAGAACCCAGAATTGTTACAAGCTTTTACACCTGCATAAGCTTTATACGTGTGAATAAGCATTCTTTATTCTTGCCAGACAGACTCCACAATTACAGGCTTTCCGGTCTCCTTTCAAGTGTGTGCCCTAACTTTGCTTTGTTTTAGCAGCCAGCGCATCAACATCTCTGTTAAAGTTGTCATGAATATAAAAAAAACAAAGAAATGGATCCCTCACATATTTGCGCTTACCATATTTTTACTTTATTTTTTTAATGTTTCATTTCTTTGTTTGATTGTTGCGATCCACCTGGAGTTGTTGAGAATCAGGTGGCATGTAAGTTAATATATTCTTATTAATGTTTTTTCTTAGTCTTAGCCTAGCTGAGATCCTAAGATCAATAGAAGGCATTTAGACAACAGATCTTTTTAGAGTTGGTTACAAACAGAAAGCACTGCTTTATGTTCTCTAGCCAAAATGTACATCAAATGTGTACATCAAATCTCAAAAACAAAGAAAAATTACTGATTTCTTTTTCTAGAGGTGCAGCTCCAGAGAACGTTTGTGAGCAGATGACTGTCGTGGAGGCAAAGGGAACAAAAAATTATAGACCAAGTAAATGGTCATAAAACCCCTATTGTTCCTGGCCAGATATTACAGACAAAAGAACTTCAAATATTGCAGCTGAAATAGCTGTTGCTAAGAGATATTTAAATCCCAGCAACCCAGAAGCTGTAGAAAATCTTAAATCCCTGACCAATAAGGGCAAACCTTATGCTTTCCCTTAACACAAAAGCGTATCATGAAATCTCAACTCTGAAGATACCTCAGTTTCCTCTAAACTAGCCTTTGATAATCTTGGCAATTTCAAGATGTGTTACTGGGGCATTTGGGGAATTGAAATGCACCTCTCTCCAAGTTGCCAAAGTTGACAAACATTGATCTTCTAAATGCTGTCACTGCATTCAAGGTCAGGTAGTTCTCAACTCACAACTACAAAGGAACGCAAAAGTTGTGTTGTTAAG